TGAGCGGACAAACAGCTGATCAGCTGTTTGTCGGCTCAGCGCGGCAGCCATGTAAATTTAAATGAAGCCGCGATCATTTAAATCGCGGCTTCATTTGACTTTGCTTATGTGTCTAATCTACATGCCTCTGACGACAGAGACATGTAGTCTAGACACAGGAGTCCCCATTTCGAAAACAAGTGCAAGGAAATAATAATTTCTTGAAATGGCTTTGGTCAGGGAATAGGCCTTCCCATGATTCCAAGGAAATAATAATCCACAGACTTAAATAATGACAGTTTCTCTATTAAAAGCAAACTGTTGGTAGGCAAGTTCTGTTATCACAGCATTGCTAATTAACCTGGAAACGGTCTGTAAAATATCTTCAAGCTTAGAAAAAGATTTTAAAAGCAAAGGTATAGAATGTTATGCAGCATGTAAACACCCTCCCTGTAAAATGCACATTCTGTAAGCAAATGTTCTTGTCCATGTCTACATGTAGCATGTAAACACCCTCACTGTAAAATGTACATTTTGTAAGCAAATGTTCTTGTCCATGTCTATTCTTTCTTTATTTTAAGGGAACACCAAAGGAATGCATACTGTCAGAGGAACTTTATATGACTGTCTTATGCTTGATCTGCACAACTGCCCAAACAGGAGTATTGATGTTACCTGGAAGACAGACAATATGCTAGTGGCCAAAATGAAAGGTCAACTAATAAAGGGTTATGGAACATACAGCAAGAGATTTCGTGCTTTCCCCAATGGCAGTTTGAGTCTTTGTCCCATGCAGCCAGATGATGAGGGCCAGTACACCGCAGAGGTATTCAGTCGTGATGGGACACACTTGTGCCATCAAACAATTCAACTAGAATATAGCGGTAAGTATCTGCCCACTCTGCAAAGCCTTTCAGGATCCGTAGAGTATATTAATAACATGCAAATGTGAAAGAGTAGTTTTAGTAAGTGTCAGTTTATTGTTCAGATCAGTGACTGCTATCTGTAGCTAGAGAACTGCTCTGAAAATGTCATTTAATGAACTCAGTTTTATGGAGGGTTACTATACCCAGATTCTGGAACTGCATTCCTGGTCTTCAGTCCCATGTGCTCCCACACCGTGTTATTAACTAGAAACAGTAGAAAGTCAGACTCCTGGTAGAGATGGAAGACCTGCTGCAGATGAAATAAGAAATACACATTTTTATAACCAAAGGAAACAGAGGAACTCTGATGTTTAATATAGTTTAACATAGGAACAGGTTTAATGTTATATTTTTGCTCTTTTCTCTTCTGATGTGCAGCCTGGACTGGAGCCAGAACTGCTCAGATTCCCACAGGAGGGGCTAGTCTCATGGTTTACTGACAAGGACTGAAAACAGAAGTGCAGGGCCTTTCAATAGAGAAGTTTCTAATGAGATTTTCGACCAGTGTTCAGATTTCAAAGAGTTGGGTAACTTTAGACTAAGCCTCAATTACACTATAATATCCAAACATGGTGGATGCTTATCAAATCCAAACCCAAACCTTCCTCGGGTTTCCAGCACAAGAGTAAATTAGAATACATCAGAGAAGAGTTCAGTTTATTGGTGTGATTATTGAGTTTCGGTTTTGCCCAACTTCTGTCAATAAGTATTTTAAATGTTGAAATGTGGTCCAACTGTACATGCATTTCAGAAAGTTCTGCCTACTCTAGTTCTTCTTTTATTCCTTGCTTTGTGCTTTCATCTTGCAGGCTAAACAGATGCAGGGCACCTTCAAATCATCTCTTTATTTGCATAGGAGAGCATCAAGTGTTTCATGAGGGTGTGCAGGTGATTCATTTGGTGGCACTATTCTGTTGGTGTTAGAACTGGCCTTTGGCCAGGTGCTAGGGAACATTGTTTTGCAGGAAGTTCTGACTTCTGGATGAGAGAGAAAAAACTGAAGCCAAGACTACTCAGAAACATTAAGATTCCATCCCACATTTTGTGAGAGAAGGGGCATTAGTTATAGTAGTCTGGTCAGCCTGTGCAGTCTGTCTTCTCTCCGCCATTTTGATTGGATATTGTTTCCACTTTTTAACTTGAGTAGCTAGTTAGGGCTCTCTGTGTGTTGCAGCTGGGAACTGATGATAGTCAGGCATTTCTTTGTCGCAGTTTTGTTTATTTACAAAGAATATATGAAGTCTTGTGCCTCTGTAGGCAGAATAAATCAAATAGTGGGAAACATCTTATTTTGCTCACAGCACTTCTTTTGCTTTTCAGCATACTCCCGACCCAAACACTTGCTCCAGGTCTCTTCAGGGTCTGTTACACACTTTTAGTTGCTCCTTCAGCCTGCCTCTCTTGCTCCATTATTCACGTATGACCTTAATTTTCTGTGAGATCTTTTTTTGTGTGCACACGCACACACTCTTATCTGTGACAATACTCAACCGAAAGTTCACCTACATCTTTTGTTTTATGTGGGACTTATGTGTACTGTTATGTTAATGACGGATGAGTCCACACTGATCTATCTCAGTGGATTTTAAACTCAATCTGTAACTAGGTTTCACCCAACTTCTAACAATATACTATTGCTCTTCACTTATTCTACAAAATCTAAATTGTTGTGTGCTGGCAGTGTGTGGTCTTTCAGTATTTGCTCTTTAGATCAGAACTACTTTCTGATTATTTGGAATGGAAAAGGTATATTAAATATACAGGAAAGCATTATTTTTATTTAAGTTTATATGTATGAAACTAGGTTTAACAAACATACTCCCCAGCATTTGACTTCAACCCTATATTTTGAAAAGATACAACAGGAAAGAGATCACTCTCAGTTAAAAGGGGGTGTAAGAAATGCTAACTCCCTTAAATTTAGCATGATGGCTTTTCCCCCTCAGGGAATAAAACAGCATCCATTCAAGAAGTAATGGGAATCCTTGATGGCTCCATGTTCCTACATCTAACAGTGATGGAGTGGAATGACTTGGTCCAGATAATGTGGAAGAAAGACGGCTTATTGGTTGCTGAGTTAAATTACACTCAGTTGGAGTCCTATGGGGGATATCACAACAGATCGGAGATCCTACCTAACGGCACGCTCAGACTGGACAGGATTCAGAAAACTGATTTTGGACGATATTCAGTAGAAGTGCAAGACAGAGATGGGAAGATTATATACCGGAGAATGATTGATGTGAAAGTAGGTGAGTATTTTTCAATTCAAAATATTAACAAAAATGGGGAAGTTTTAATTGTCTATCTACTTTAAAGGCTATTTTGTCCCTCAGAGTCAAATATAGGTTGAACCTCTCTGGTCTGGAACTCTCTGGTCTGGCAACATCTGTGGTCCAGAATAGGGAAGTAAGTGACTAGTCAACTATCCGGTAAGCATATGCTTATCAGATAGTTGACTAGTGACTTGACTAGTTGCTTTTCCTGTCCCTTTGCTGCAGCAAGAGAGGAGTGCTGGGGGGAACCAGCTTAAAAGCCGGTTTCCCCCAGCAACATCTTCATGGTTGAGGGTTGGGGGCTCTTGCTACATTTCAAAAACAGAAAGGCTGCAGTGAGCACGGGGCGAGTGAGGGACTCAAGCATTCCCCTGCTGGCCCTGTGCTCCCTGCTTTTGAAATGTACAAGAGTTTTGCTCTTGCTACATTTCAAAGGCGGAGGTGCCCTTATTAACTAATCAGATAGTCAATGCAAATTTAATCTAAATTTAACATCCTTAGTCCAGCAGGACCCTGGATGTTGCTGGACCAGAGAAACCCAGGCCAGAGAGCCTCAAGTCTGGTGAGGGGTGGCAGCAGAGCCCAGCCGGCAGCTGCTGGGAATGCAGCCTGGCAGCTCTGGGGGCCAGGAGCGCAGCCCGCCTGGCAGCTACTTGGGGCCAGGAGCAGAGCAACAGCTAGGAAGGGAGCCAGCTGGGAGGCCAGTGCTCCTGTGAGAGCTTGTCCTTCCCTGATCTGACAAACTCCCTTGTCTGAGACCCATTAGGTCCCGAAGGTGTCCTCCCTGGAAGGTCCAACCTATACTGAAAAAACTCTCATTCTGAGTTCAAAATGTGAGGACAGAAGAATCATGTAAGAACTAATTAACAATTAATCCATTAACTCATTCTTGAAACAGGCTAGAGCTGGGTGAAATTTTTCAGCTGAAACATTTTTTGGTGAAAAATGAAGATATGATGAAGCCAAAATACTTTGGTAATTTGTGTTGGCTTTGCAGAATTATTTCACTCAAAAATATTTAAAAATTCTGAAAAAAAATAAAAAGTTTTTTTCAACATTTTTTAAACAATTTTTTTGTTACTTTTTTGTTCAAAACAACTTCTTATTTTGAAATTTCGGTTGTTTTCATTTGTTAAACATGAAAAATATTTTAAATGCTCCACGTTGTAATAAAATGTTTAGTTTTTGGTTAAACAAACCATGCAATTTGACCTAAATATGTTTTTCTGACCCTTCAATGCATTGAAAATTCCAAACCTGTGTTTTGGAGTTGACTGAAAACAAAGCTGTCCTTTTGATTTTTTTGGAATCGAAACATCTTTATACCAATATAACTGTTGCCCACATATACTGGTATAGTTAAAGCTGTATACATTTTGTGTATGGAAAAGCCCTTGGAGAGGAGATAATGGAGTTCTGACACTAAAATGGATAGAAAAAGGAAACATTGCTTCAGGGCTCTCCCTTTCTTTCTAAAAAGATTTAGCCTTCTTATCAGCCAAGAAACACGAATCTTACTTTGGGCTGAAATTCATTATAATGAAAAGAAATCCAAATTAGGGTTTGCTTTCTCCCCCGTTTGTTTTAATTTCATTGGAATTTATAGTTAGAGTGAGCCAAAGCAGTGCCTTCTCAACCTGTCCAGCCCAAGGCTTTGTAGAATTTGTAGTGGTACCCAGAATGGGTCCATGTCCCACTCTCAACCTACCTAAGGCTCTGGAAGGGAGTTTGGATGGAAGGTGCAGGCTCTGGGCTTGGGCATTATATTTGGGGTGCAGGAGGAGGTGCAAGGTACAGGCTGAGGGGTGAGGGCTCTGGGATGGAGTATGAGTGCTAGGTGTGAGCTGTGGCCTTGGACAGGGGTTTGGTGTGCAGGAGGGAGTGCAGGGTGCAGGAGAGGTTGTGGGATGTGGGCCTTGAGAGGAAGTTTGGGATGGGGAGAGGTGAGGGGTGCAGGTTCTGGGAGAGAGCTTGCATGCAGAAGGGGATGTGGGATGCTGACTGTGCAAGGGAGTTTGGGTGCGGCGTGCAGGCTCTGGGCGGGGGAATGGAATTGGGGTGCACAACGGGGTGCAGGGTGCAAATTCTGGGAGGGAGTATTGGTGCAGGATGGGTGCTGGCTGTGGAAAGGCACTTAGGTGCTAGGGGGGTTTGGGATGCTGGGGATGTTAAAATGCATGTGTTTATGTAAATGTGTAACTGCTGAAAATTTCAGCAAATTACATGTGGTGAGTGGATCCCCAGGAGCCAGTCTGCAGGAGCAGCTTTTAAGCCGGCTCCCCATGAGTACCAGCTCTTGGGGAGCTGCCTGCTCCCCCATGCTCAGCAGCAGTGCAAGTGGTGGGGTGGGGCTGCTTGTAGCCACATACACGTATACAATATCATGTCCCTATGGGATGAGAGCTCTGGGCGGGAGTTTGGGTGTGGTGCAGGCTCTGGGCTGGGGCAGGGAATTGGGGTGCAGGATGTGGTATCTGGGAGGGAGTTTGGGTTCCAAAGGGAGTGTGGGGTACAGGCTCTGTGTGGGAGTTTGGGTGTGGGGGCGGGGGCAGGGAGTCTGGCTCTTAGGAGGGAGTTTAGATGCAGGGTGGGGGTCTAGGCTGGGTCAGGGGGTGGAGGTGCAGAAGGAGGTGAGGGGTGCAGTGCTTACCTGGGGTGGCTCTTGTAAGTGAGGCACATCCCTCTCTGGCAGTGACTCCTATGCGGGCGGTTCTGGGATCTCCAAGCACCATTGCCTGCAGGCACTGCCCCTGCAGCTTCCAATAGCCACAGAGGTGCTTGGGGCAGAGGCAGCATGTGGAGACATATACCTCCCCCCACTGCCTAGGGGCCATAGGGATAGGGTGGCATGTGGGGCCATGGGGAGAGACCTGTTCCAGAACTTTGGTGGAGCCGGACCCCTTTGTTCTTATATTGGTGGGGCGCGGGCACTGCAGGCCTGTACAACTCACCACCTAGTTCCTGACTAATGAGATTACTGTGCCCCTTTCAGGAGTCCGGTTTGTTTTGTGTACCTCCAAATTTCACCTCATTTTAAAATGACTTGCTTACAAAATCAGATATAAAAATATGAAAGCGTCTCAGTACACCAATTGCTGACTTTCTCTTTTTTACCATACAATGATAAAATACATCAACTAGAATATAAATAGTGTACTGCAGGGTCTTACCTGTGCAGCATCCCCTGTCTTCCTGCACAGGTAAGACCCTGCAGTACACTATTTATATTCTAGTTGATGTATATCTGATTTTGTAAGCAAGTGTTACACTTATTTTGCCGTGTGGATAAGACTCCCTAACTATGCTGGAGGCATATCTGGGTGGTCAACAAATGCCTTTGATGTTGACACCCGTGCGTCCAGACTACTGCGCTGAGCCGACAAACAGGTGATCGGGTGGCGTAATTAAATCGCCGCTTCATTTTCCTATGTCTGGTAGCCTAATCTACATGCCTCTGGCAACAGAGGCATGTAGTCTAGACGTACCCTAAGTCTTCTTCCTCCTTGCTCTCTGTGCAGTAGGATAACCCAGAGCACATTATCCCATGTGCTTCTGGTGCCATTCTGTGTGCATGCCCTTCCATCACTCCGTCTCATCCTGAGGCACCATAGATGCCCAGATTTTCCCAGGATGCGCAAAGATCAGGCTGGGCAATAATTTTTGCCCAGGAGCAACTTCAAAAATTTGCAAAATAGCCCTGGTCCTAAACAGGAAGGGGCAGGGCCTAAACGGGAAGGAGCGGGGCTACCCTACCCCCAGACCATGTTTGGTCTGGGGGTGGGAGAGCCCCTTAGCACCCCCTTCTTGCTAGGCACCCATGCCCTCGAAAAGGCTTGGCACGTTCCTCCACCCCAGGCCAATCAGGACTTGGAGGTAGGGGAGCCACGGGAAGCTTCCTCCACTCTTCCCCGCCCATCCCACGAGCAGCATGTGGCGCTTCAAAACGCTGCGTGCTCCTTGCAGGGCAGGAGGAGGCTTCACGTGCTCCCCTACCCTCAAGCCAATTAAAGCCTGGGGGTGGGAGAGCGCGCAAAGCCTTCTCCGCTCTGCCCTCGCCCCCAGGCCCTAATTGGCTTGGGGAGCGGGGGAGCAGCAATGCCTCCGTGGACTGGATCCACCCACTTGGCGGGCCAGATCCGGCCCTTTTGCCGTTCCCTGGCAAAGATGGTCAGCATGATGGGTCTGGACTCACAAAGTCAGTTGGTGTTGGGTTATGTTGTGAAAATAGCTGCTGTGTAGATGTAGTTGTTACTCAGATGATAGTTTCGCAAACAGAACATAAAATGTTTATATTTGTCATTTGACCCAGGCACTTATGCTGATCCAGAATAATTTGCTTTATTGTTGACACTGTCATCTTTCATTTTCAGATGGTAATAAACCACAGTAACCAGTTTCATTCTGGGTACTGTACATACAGTTGATACTCAGACATATTCAAACTGCCCCAGACTTCTACAAAATGCATTATTTCCATCCTCTGAGTCAGCTAAGTTATATGATAATGATAAAAATCTTGAATGCAGGAGAAAGCTTAGCTAGAAGAGCTATCTTTTGATTGAATTCATTCCTGTCATGGCTCCAGACACCAACATGGAATATGACCTACTTGCTTTAAAGTAATGTTAGGGACAGACAACTGTGTAAATATCCTCTTCTTACCCAATGATTCATCTTCTTGTGTGCCTTTGTCACATGTTGACTTCACAGACCAAGACAAGTTGTTTGGAGCCCCTCCAAGGCAGGCAAAGCAAACTACAGTACAGAGAGCTGGTGCCTATACTGCGTCACAAATTTTCAACAGAATCACCACATTGCATCTGACCACAAAAGCATTATTTCTAGTCATGTTGTAAGAGGCCAAAGGATCACAGCTGGATTGTCAGATCCCATGCTGAGTTTGTAATGCCAGCTCTTAAGAAAACTGGCTTGTAAAGTGGGCCAGTTTACTTTGCTCACACAAAGAGCAAAGAAACAATTTTGTTTCATAGAGTCACTTTTCTGATTCAGCTGCCTTTGAAGGGAAGTGAGAAAAACAGAAAAAGATAAATAGAGCTTGTTGTACAGTTGGTTAATAAATGATGAGTGGAAATTATAAAAAGAACCATGTGCAATGCTAACATAATGGAGCAGCAGGCATTTTGAATCAATACATTTTCCCATTGTATTCTCATTTTAGATGCAGCACTAGAGATGCCGGCCTCAACAGTTGATCCGCATTTACTATTATTCATCATAATAGGAGTACTTGGAGTTGTATTCATTGTTGCGTTGGGTACACTGATATGGCATTTTGAAAAATGCAGACAGAGAACAGGTAAGGATTTCTTCTTCAACTCTGTAACAGAATGTAGTAAACCAGGGCTATCAACTTTGGAAGCCCCGGGGACCTCAGTGATACTCATAGCACATGCCAAGTGCCTCAACCTAAGAGTGGTTGAATACACATGCAAATGTTATGCAAATAGCTTCATTCATTCTGACGGGTATGAATACAAAGATTAAGGCAAGACTACACAACACGCAGGCCCCATTTAAGTCAGTTCTGCTGATATTAATAAAATACAGTATATACCTGATTTCCACCCACATGACAGCACTTTTAATGAGCAATGACAGACCAGGAATTTAACTACTAAAACGCATATCAACAGAAGACCATTATATTGACTCGCCATCGTGGAGTGTGTTCCCAGTGGAGGCCATGTTCAAAGGATCCCACCCGCGGGCTGCATGTGGAGCCCTGTGTTAACCCAAACTGCATTGTGGGCCGGGTGTAGAGTAGCCCTGCAGTAAATCATTTTCATGAAGAATCAGTACACAGGGACAATCTTCCTTACATAGTGATTCCTAATTACTTTTGGCTTGCTGTTTACCAGGCTAAGGGCCAGATTTTTTAAGTGTTTAGTTGCTTAACTTTAATTGATTTTCAGTGATAATTAGGTGCCTAAGTAACTAAAAATCTGGCCCAAAGATCTTAACTGTACCAGGAAACAGCTCATACCCTTCAGTCAATAAGGCTGTGGAATTTAGTTTGCTTCAAAAAGCAATCTGTCATGAGACTAGGCCTGGAAGAATGTAATGTCCTGAGAGAGAATTTGGCCACAGTACCGTTATGATACCATTCGGACTTGTGTTAGAAGGATTTATAAAACTCCAAGGTGCCCAGGGCCTCCACTTCCATGTCTCATTCCAAAGCTATGTCTCAAGCAGAAGACTATCCCTGGTCCTGGCCTGAAGTGATTCAGTACTGACCCAGGGTGCCACCTGGGAACTGTCTACATTACAGAACATTCCCATGTTAGGACACAGTTATGAAGAGCTGAGTTTGCTGAGCTGATGCTGAGCAGAGAGCGTAAACTCAGACAAATGACATTCAGTGATGAGTGGGAGAAGCGCCAGTATTTAATCCCTGCTGGTAAACACAGTACTGAATAGGATTTGTTCTGATCTACCCTGACCTCTAAGTCGTCATCAGCATTGTGTCAACTAACTCTGGCCTTCCAAACCTTATTCAGCCATCATAACACTCTGCAATGGGGTCGTAGCCCTGCTGAGTCGCCAGTCCCCTCTGCTGCATCTGAGTTTAGACAGGAGTTCTCCTGCCCAAGTACAGACAGACCATCTTTTATCTTGTGAGTTTTGAGAAGTGCATTGTCTTGTGTGGCTCTGCAGGGATGGGCGGGTTAAGCAAATGCCTCCACATCTGTGTGAAGGGAGATAACTTAGTCTTTGTTTCCACACACCCCTGAAGTAGATGGAAGGAGGTCTGAGTGTCCCAGAAGGACCTAGGCTTGGCAAGTCTCCCCATTCCCAGGAACCCAGTAGTCAGCTATTGACTGGATGTGCTTTGCAGCACTGAGACAGGCGTGGTCCTGCAAACAGGCAGCATGAGGAGCAAGGAGAACACATTTTTCTTGCCAGCTGTGCGAGACAGGGAAGAGAGAGACGACCAATCAGCTCATTGGTCCTACTTCTGACAGGCAGATGGCAAGAGAGTGAGATGGCAGCTTACCCCAGTATAGACTACAGGAAGGGCAGAGTGGAGGCACAGAAGTAGGAATAGAAGGGGAAAGCAGCATTATTATGATCTGTAACAGCAGCATATACATATTTCCAAAAGGACGCTCCTCTGGGAAAGGCAATGGAAAACAGATGTGGTCCTCCAAGTCCTGCTCCACTAGGCACAGGAGAAATTACATGTGAAGGATGGACAAATAGTTTTGGGGTGTTTGAAATATCCCTGGGGAGGATGTGAGAATGAGGGGAAAAAGAATGGTCATCCTGAAGGGAGAAGTAAGCTGGCAGCAGCATGTGAGATTGAAGAGGAAGGCAAAAGGGAGAAAACAAAATGTCCCGAATGGCAGAGTGGTCAGAAACAATAAGCCTACACTGTGCAGTTCTAAAGGCGTTAGCATTAGCCATGTCACACTTCTGTTGTTTAAAATTGATCAGCTCTCTCCTGCTGGGCTACATTTTCCCGTGACTCTCATGACATCAGGAGAAATGATGGGAAATGGGCCCCAACAGATTGTGCTAGTTTTGCTTTTCCTTGAGAATTTTCCTCAAATGTCTAGTGATTTTCTTATTTTATTTGTGTTAAGGTCGCTTCTGGTCAGTGCCTGGGGCCCATAGTGGCTATAATGAGGACCTGGTGGAATCTGGAGTGGGAGGCACGAACAGCCCTGACCAAGGTGAGTATCCCAGCTGCTTAAGAATGGTTCTGGGAACAGGAGGGTAAAGACTCTGCTGACAGCGCCATGTATTTGATATCACGGGACTTGTTAAACACTGTTTGAAGCAGAGCCCAGAGAGGGGAGGAATTCTCAACCAAGAAAGCAACTAATATGACAGCAGTTCCCTAACACAAGTACCCCAGGAGTGGTGGTGGAGTAACCTCACAAACCCGATGGATCTAAGGTGATACCACCGCTGAGCCCTAGTACCACAGAGATTGGCTGGCTCCATGTCTCTCTCTCTCTCTGCACAGTTCCCTTCAGTGGTCGCAGTGTTAGGGTTCTTATAACAGGCCCTTCCTGCCTTTCATATCCGGCTAGCTCATAGGGCAGGATTGCTAATAACAGCAGTGTGATATAAGTTACTGTTGTGACACTTGATTTACACTTTTGGAGCTCCCAGTCCTCCTTTTTCAATATTTTCCCAGGGGTGGGTTGACTCCTCTGCCTCTAAGTTTGCAAAAGGTGAGTTTCTTCCAGGCTGTCAAGAGAGTTGCTGGCCATGACCCAGCAGCCGTATACACGCTATATTCAGTATGTACCTTTGGCAATGGCCAGGAGGAGCAGCATGGGCTGAACTCACTATCAGTACAGGTTTGGAGTGAGTGACGTTGCAGCCTGGAGCCCTTGGGGGCACAGCAGCAAACCAGCAGTGCTGCAACCCCCATGCACTGGGTCACAATTCCACTCGGTTTTGGCCCCATGCAGAATAGGTGGGGCCAGCCCTGAGTAGATGGTATATTCAGTGCTGCACCTTCTTACTGCTGGTCTGGGTCTGGCTGCTGTGCCAGGGATCCCCGCAAGGGCCTGCCCAGGCTCCCTCTACTTCCAGCATCCTGTGTCCCCTCCTAAGACACGGACATGAGTGAGCCAGGCTAGAAGGGCAGGATGAGCACTGCACAGACTCAGTGGGCTAGACACGGGGGTCATGGGGAGAGTGTCTTGGGAGTTGTCCCTGTTTGCCGGCCCTCATTAGTAGCATGCTCCTGAGTGCATGGACACTTGTTGTGCCTTTCCCTGAGTTCCAGTCCTTTTATTCCCCACATACTCTTCATATTTCCATAGACTGTAACGTCAAAAAAGACCTTTAGATCACCTAATCTGACCTTGTATATGTCACATACCTTAGACTTTCATCCAGTTACACCTCTAATCATGGTAATGGAGGCAAGGGAAGGCACAGCCTTCCCAAAACTGCCTACATGCTCGGCCAACTGGGAAGGGTGGGGCTGCAACGCAGCAGCCTGGCTCCTCCGGCTGTTGGGGAGGGCCGGTGTTGGGGCTAGGGCTGTAGTACAGCAGTCCCGGCCCTCCAGGTGGCCAGGAAGGCTGAGTGTGGGTGGGGGTTGGCTCCAGGGGCAGGCCTTTTGTGGAAGGGGCGGAGCCATTTGGGCCTTCACCCACCACCCATATCTCTAATGAACCCACTATTGCTTCATTTCTCTCCTCCACTTCAGCTCTATTTGGTCACCCTTCTGTCCTTTCCTTCGCCCTGCCTGTCCCCCAGTTCACAATTAAAGAACCATGTTGTGATGGGGCTCATTGCACTGATAAGGAGCATTCCTCTTGATTCAGAGACAAAGTTTGCTCCTGAAGTATTATGTGATGCTCCTCACAAACAGCGCGTCCATCAGCATTGCAACCGCACAGACAGCTCCCCCAGTGCCATCAGGAGGAGTCCGAGGCAGCACAGAGATTTTGCAAAAACAGTTAAAAATGTTATTTCTACTACGCGTCCCCTAGGAGCTATATACAGTGCCTTCTCTATGCGTGCAGCTCAGTTCCAGCAGGTGCAAACTGAACAGTACAAAACCAAGAGAAACAACACATTTCCTCGCCCCTCTGCTGAAACACACCATAATAGAAGGGATTGAAGAGCTCAGCTATTCCACTTTACCAGGAAAAGGCTGAACTATTGGTTTTGGTTCACATGCCCATGGATGTTGAGATCTACAGAACCCAAATATGAAAGCAGAATTCAGCCAAAACATCTCTGCAAGCCAGGCCCGCGTTGTGAGTCTGCCACAAAACATTGCCATCAGCAATCGGGGACATAACCTACCATATTGAGTTCTTCAGTAGGAGCCATGAGGGATATTCATGGGTCTGAGGGTCTGATACTAGACTCTGTTCTACTGTAAAGTTAGGGTTGTGAGAGTTTGGTCATGTCCAAGCTGAGAAATACCAATTTCCATTGATTTCCATTGATTTTATCAAGGTTGAGCCATGGTTTTAGGCCACAAGCATGTGCCAGTAATGTAGAACATGAACTATGGCTTAGAAAACATAGGAGGAAATCAAATGAGGCTCTCAGACCTCCTCATGTGAAACCCAAAAGAATGAGATGCATCTGCTATTGAACTGAGCTGTCACTAGCATTACTCAGTCTCTGGTGTCATAGGAGTCGTTGCCTAGTAATCTAGTGCCTCAGCACAACTGGATTAATCCACCAGCCCCAGGAAATTACATTCTAAAAATACAAGCTTTCCACTGGGGAATAATTTACTCAACAATTTTTAATCACGGTAGTGTGAAAATGTTTGGAACCATGAATGATAAAGAGTCTTTCCTGGCCAAAGCCCCTGTCTGTCCTCCTCAGGATGCTGTGACTCAAATCTTGGCTTTATTTTTTTACCCCATGAAAACATTTTTATCCAGCGTGCAGTTGCTACTGAGGCAGGTGGCAATCTTAGTGCACCAAGACATTGTCAAGGGAGGAAAGCAAGGTCAGAGCATGCAGGCAACGCCCAGACAGTAAAGCACTTTGTGGGCTACTATCCCGGCGCCTAGGCTATAGGGCACTCTCCGAGCTGCTATCCAGTTGCTTGGGTTGTAGGACACTCGGTGAGTCACCAGCCCATGAATGCCAAATTCACCCTGAAAAGGTTACACTCCATTTTTAATTATGCTTAGGGTATGTCTACACTGCATGGCTATTTTGGGATACCAGAAGTATCCCGAAATAGTTGCCCTGTGTCTTAACAAGCATTCCTGTAACCCTTGTTCCATGGTGCTGTGTAGATGTGCCAAATTTAAAAATAAGCTATTTCAAAATAGAATCAAAATAAGATACGCAATTTGCGTAGTGCACATTGAGCTTAGGGTGCTGTGTAGACACACCGTTAGTGTGGTAGGACATAAATACAGGACTACACACTTCTCTTTGTCCAGAGCTGATTTCTCAATTGTGTTAATGGGAATATTGATCAAAGAACAAAATATGGCCTTCATGTAGTAACTAAAGTTTTAGTTAATATTTTTATTTATAATCTATCCAGTGCCTTGGTTGTCATTTGGCATTAGTGAGCAAAAAGGAAGCATATTTGTCCTTTCTTTCTCTACTTTCCATAGCCTTTCTCTGTTACTTTCCGTCCCCCATCTATGGGTACGTCTGTACTACAGGCTTCTTTTGGAAGAAGCTTTTTTTGGAAGAGATCTTCTGAAAAATCTTCTTCTGAAAGAGTGCGTGCAAAGAACTGCCAAAGTGCAACGAAAAAGTGATCTGATTTTTCAAAAGAGAGTGTCCAGACTGATGGAATAGGCACCTGTGCCTTTTCCTCTTTCCTTTACTTCCGAAAGAACTCCCTCTTCCCCGTCCTCTTCTTCCTCATAGAATGAGGATTACCAATGGCAGAGAAACTCCTCTGTTCTTTTGATTTTCTTGTGGAAGAATGCAGTTGCAGTGTGGACGTTCCTTAACTTTTGACAGAAAAATGGCCGTTTTCCCGACAAAACTCTGTAGTGCAGACATACCCTGTGTGTCTCGTATGTTCTTCCCTTTGCACCCATTCCCAGCCAGTTCCCACTTCTGCATGGGCCTTGCTCTCATTTCCTTTCACTGTGCGGTAACAGTGCCCACATGCACAATATGCTGTTACATGGCAAGCTAGTGCACTGTAGATTCACACCCGTGCTTGCCATGCAGTAACTCGCAATAATACAACAATCCCTTGGTTCGTGTTTGGAAACTTTCACTGCAATTATGAAAGTGATAAACTTATCTTTGTCTACATTAAAGATTCTTCCCAATCTTAATCTCTCATGTGGACATAAGAAATACATGAGGCAGATGGAAACCGGCCTTCTTGCTATATGTTTGACAACATTATTGCTAGGGTAATGCCTACATTCTGTGTCTGTTTACTTAGATATATTTTGCTTTCTTGGTTAGAAGGGACTGGAAATCCAGCTTCAAAGGAACCAGAGGCTGCAAACTCCACCAAGCAAGAGAATGAAGCTTTCATTAAGAATGCTGAAGAGACTAAAGCAGCAACAGCTGCAAGCCTTTACACTGAGCAACCTATGTCTTTAAATATCTCCACTTTTCAAGGTAAGAAGAGACAAAAGTGAACTCTAAACCCAAACCACATTTGAAACAGGAAAGCAGATTATTCAGCCTAACTGAGAAGTCTCCCTTGCCTCTGAAGTCCAGGGCTCTCTTAGGTGCAATAGCAGCATAACCGTAATGAACTCTATTTCAAGTCTCGTGGGAGTTTGTGCTATGCTGCAGGACCTAGTGCATAGTCTGTGCTCCAGGTGACTATTTTTGGATAACACACGCATATGCTGTGTACAGTTACTCCAAAATTAACAATACCACAAGCCAAGGGTGTTCTCAGCCAATCAGAGCAACGGCCAAGTTTGATCTCTCTGCAACTCTTTGCTGACAACTGGTGCTGAAGCAGGCAGCAGTAAAACTGACTAGCACCCTGCTCCCACTCAGTAACTGTATAGGAAAAAAACCACTTCTTAAAGGAAAGCTCTGTGTTTTTTCAATAATAGTTGTTATTAACACACGTCCAGAGAGCTCTTCACAGTGGCATGTGAGTGCATTTAAATAGCTTAAATAGAGTCACTGATATTCCAAAACAGGAATAAAGCCAGACTCCCCTTCTGACTGCAGCTTTGAGAAAGAGCGTGGATAGGGATTTGCCCACTCTGCTCAGATTACACAGCACAATGCATTTGAATCCTGGGAAAGATGCATCTTGTAGCGCTTTCTGAATAAGGCTGGCTAGGTTTGTATTTTAGTGTATCACTCAGCTTGCAATCCTTTAGCCTTACCTTCCATTTGGAAGTGGTTAAGGCATTTTGCAAACTTTAATACATGTAAGACCTGTGAGGCACAGCAGGTAAGTATTATCTCTGATTGACAGATCGGTAATTGAGTGGCTTGCTTGAGGTCAGAGTGTTCTGTAGCACATCCAAAAAAACCCCTAAAGTCCTAGCCCAACCTCTGGCCCCACACTCCTTCTTGTAATAGTTATGAAGACAAAAACGAGCACAGCGAAGTTATAAATAGAGAGCGTCATGCATCCTTATTTCCTGTTATTTCTTTTTGACAGATTTGCTCTTGTCCATCTGTTTTCTGCTTCTCTGCACTACCTTTTCAACTAAAGGTGGATATTGTGGCTTACAAAGCCCATGGCCACAGGCCCCACCCTGAATTTAGGACTTTATCAATGCCAAGACTAAGCTCAGGTTTTATATCAAGCAGAAAGTAAATCTCTAGCCCCTCTTCTTGTGGGGAGAACCTGGAAAATTTAATCAATGCAAACTGCTTGCTTGAGTTTGGAAACTTGTCCCTTGCTTCAGCGCTTCAGCCTGTTACTTCCAGGGGTCAAGAAGGAATGTTTTTCTCAATGCACACAATTGACCAGATGTATTTTAGGTGGTTTATTTTGCCTCCCTCTAAAGTGTTTGAGCACAGTTGAAGACAAGACACAGGATAGGGTAAGGCAGTGCTCTGAAATGCTACAGAGAATCCTCTGTCTTAGATGTTAGGCTGATGGGCCTTGTTCATGTGCTCGCAGCCAAATTGATTTCCAGATTTGGGGTTGGGAAGGAATTTTCACTCAGGTCAGATTGTCAGGATCTTGGTGTGGCTTTTGGGTTTTGTGTTTTTTTGCTTTCCTATGCAGCATGTGGCATAGATTACCTGGTAGGACCATCAGGGCATCTCCCAATTATTTCCCGGCCATTGCAGAAGCTTGAGGCAGCAATGACATCTGATCCGTCCAGTTCTCTGCCACAGGCACCCAACATTTTAGTCTCCTGAAGACTGGAATGCTTTAGTTTACCTAAGCAATTAGCTGAGGTTTAACAACCTATTGTATACAGGAGATGAGAGTAGGTCACCTAGTTGTCCCTTTTGACTTTAATGTCTGTGAAAAATATACTTTTTCCTGAAACTCATATGTTATTCACCATCCTCACATAGGAGCTGTCCAAGGCTGGACTACATGGTGAATGAATCCCACAGCAATTTGAAGCTGCGCGGGATGTTGTTGACAGCTCCAGGGATGCTGAAAGCTCCTATTGGGCTGCCAATCAGCTGCTTGTGGCTGATCAACTGTGCCAAGTTGGAATAAATAACATTTCTTTATCCTTTACAGCCACGTTCACTCTTTAGATTACTGCAAACTTCAGCCTTACAATCCATGCTTAAATGGTAGGATAATAATATGACAAGGGGAAGGTGTATGTTATCCATTTGCTCTTTTCCTTCCAGGGATAGAAGGCTCTAAATCACAGTGCGGGCCTATGCATGCTGGAAATGATGTTGCTTCAGTTACTAAAGACTGTGTTCTACCAGAATATGGGAACTATGTTCCTCAGGATGACAGGGACTGTGTTCCCCGAGACTTTGATGAGTATCCCCTCCCAAGATTTGATGACTGTGGTCCCCCAGAATTTGATGAGTGTTCCCCACCAGACTTTGGTGACTGTCATCCTCCAGACTTCGATGATTGTGTCCTGTCCGAATTTGATGATGATGATGGTCCCCCAGAATTTGATGACATTGCTCTCCCAGAATAACATATATCTACTAATTCATTCTACTAAATACATGTTTTGAAAGGAAGCTACATTGATATTGTGACTGGAGGCTGAACACAGGGTTATATCAGCAAAAATTCATTGAATCACTAGCAAAATTCTGAATTTTAAGCATGTACTGTTGAACTTGCTATAATTTACATCATTAATTATTAGATACTGCATGTCTTGAGTTTCTTAGAGTTGAATAACAGTTATGTTAAAGGTGTGTAATTTATATGATAATAAAGCTTTTCACTTTTATTTTGTAGTGTATATACTAGCTATTAATGTGCTAATTTGTTTTTCCACAGGTCAACAGAAACAATGTCTTTTGCATAGGACCAACCAATGAACTTTTGTTCTGATGGTGTAATATATCTATCTTGTGTTTTATTGGTTCATTGTGCTGTCACTTTTCACTTTTATTTTGTAGTGTATATACTAGCTATTAATGTGTGTTTTATTGGTTCATTGTGCTGTCATTGGACATTCTAGAGAACTTAGGGGCTGGACTTTGTGGACGCTCATAGAAGATTCTCTCTAATGCACTTCTGATAAATTCATAGTAAACTTAATTAATTCAGCTCCAAACTCTGAAATGCTGATGCTCCAATCAGAATCTAGGATGTTTTATTGCTCAGGAGGCCAAATTAATTTGGCCCAGGCTAAATGCACAATTTAATGGGGAGTTCATTCTTGCAACCAGTAGTTTTATCTGTATTTCTAGTTGTTTCACTGAGTCATGCCTAACTTAATGCCTGAACTCTTGTTCAATGTATTTCATATAAAAATACTTATAAAAAGTCCTATAAAATATATAAATATATAAAAAATATATAAATATATCTTTGTCATAATCTATCAGCCAAATGTACGCAATTCTCCAAAACAGATTAAGACCCAGGATCTGGTATGGGGAGAATGGGAAATTTTGTTTAATAAAGAACTCACACATCAGAAAAAAGCAGTAATCAAACTTACTGAAACAATAACTCCTTACTATTGTACAGTTGTGCACATTTATTTTTAATTTATCTTATGCTTTATTCAGAATCTGATAAAGAGCCTGTGTAATGCTTGATAACTGTTGAAGCATTCACTCAATAACACTTTCCACACAACATATATCTTTGTATTGTCCCCATTTGTAGAACTGAAAGGCCATAGAGAAAGCTCGCTCTTAAATTCATGGAGAACGGATGACTCGGGACCCACACATGGTTCTGTTGAATTAAAAGATCTAACAATGCCTGCAATTAGGTGATATTCAGACTGAGTGCCAATCTTTGTAGGAAACACAAAGACGTGTTTCACCAAACAGTGTAAAGAAGAAAGCCACGATGTTTGAAAACTGGCACATCATCACGTATGTGAGGGAAACATGTAGGGAATCAACTAGATTATTTTTATTTTTTGGCATTTATTCCTCCAGGCCAGGCCTGCACAACATACGGCCCGAGGGCTGCATGCGGCCCACAGGGGCTTACTGGGCGGTCCATGACAACTACAGGTGGCGCGGCCCCATCCGATCCGCCGGCCAGGCGGAGGAGCGGAGCACTGCTGGGGAGAGGGAAGTGCGGTGATTCTCGTCGCCGGGCTGCCTATGTGCAGCTCCGGCACGAAGAGGTGGGGCGTGAGCCAGAGGGCAGGATGCCGGCAGATGCCAGGACGCTGGCGTGACGTGGAGTCGTGACGTCACAGCTGGGTTCAAAAAGGCTCCGGCAGCCCCGCAAACTGGAAGGCAGAAGCCCAGTAGGGGAAGGGGCTTGTGCTGAGGGGAGGGGGGCAGGTCAAGAGAAAGGGGAAGGCACCAAGGGGCAGGGTGCAGGAGAGACAAATGCCAGGGGGCCAAGTGGAGACACGTGTGTTTTTTTTAGCCCACGTGTTCGGTAGTTATAGGGAGAACATCTGGCAACCTTACTTGCGGCCCGCAGCTGCTTTCTTTGGAGTAATATGGCCCTTGTTGCTTTCCGAGTTGTGCAGGCCTGCTCGAGGCTGAGGGAGAAGGTATGGCCAACAATTTTCTCAGTATAATAGTGTAATTAATTTGAGGGAGAAACTTCCAGCGTTGAATATCTTTTCACACTTACATTTATCCAGATTAGCTGACATGGATATTTCAGGTGTGTTGCTATGGTTTGTAGGTCGCATGATCCCATGAGATTAAAACATGAAACCTTAGGAGAGGTTAAGTATCTGCAGACTTGCCAAATGTCAGGCATGAGTGTGCAGCTGCCCCTCACACATTTCCTCAGCGAGAATCCAGCGTTGAATATCTTTTCACACTTACATTTATCCAGATTAGCTGACATGGATATTTCAGGTGTGTTGCTATGGTTTGTAGGTCGCATGATCCCATGAGATTAAAACATGAAACCTTAGGAGAGGTTAAGTATCTGCAGACTTGCCAAATGTCAGGCATGAGTGTGCAGCTGCCCCTCACACATTTCCTCAGCGAGAATG